TTTTTTTTTTTTTTGTGATACAAAACTCCATAGAGAAGCTTTGACATTTTTAGTTTATATGGTTTATTTTTTCGACTTTACGAATCTTTTTGGTTGTTTTAATTTCTCTAATGTTTACTATTTTCAGTACTTTCGACCGGTTTGCCTCAAAAAGCTTTAAATGAAAATTGCACATTTTTGAAAAAAATAAATAAATAAATAAATAAACAAACCTGCAAAAGTTCTTCAAAAACATCTTCCAAAGTGATTATCCCGATTACATCTCCATCTTCAACATCCTCCGCCACGTAATTCGAACCGTTTGACATAAAACCATTTTGCGGAGACTTATCAATATCAATCACAGCACTATTTAGGTGCCCGTTAGATTTTTCCAGCAATGGGGCAGTCAATTTCGAGTCCCTAATGATAAAATTTTTCCCTTCACCGTTGTAAGGAAAAGGAAGCTTTTTCTCTTTCTCTCTCATTCTAACAACAGCTGCCATGTGGCTACTTCCTTTCTGAAACTCGTTTAAGATATCGTACAAAGGCATATCTGCAGGTACTCTGATAAACAAACCGATTAATTTCATGAGCAAATTAATCACATTTTTTTTTCTCATCCAATATTGTTAAAACGGCTTTGATGTTTTGAATATAACTAGATTTTATTTATATCATATTTCACATGATACCTAGGCATTCTCCGAATAGAAACGGAGCTAACAGGAGTCTCGGTTTCAGCTCTTACAGTGAGGAGACTTTTGACCTGCAAAACAAGGAGGCATAAAGATAATTTCGAAAATCGAATAAAATTTTATGTTGATTTTAAGAAAGTGTAAACAGACCAGTAGAAGTCCAATGATGTTCTTTGGGTGCCCCGAATAGACAGGAATTCGACTATGGCCTCGTGCAAGAATTTTCCCAATAGCTTCCCTGCGTACCGTTTTAATGTAAATAGTCGAATAAAAAATTTTACTTCTTAGTAGATTTCTTCTGTCTCTCTCCCTCTCCCTCTCAAATTAAAAAATAAAATAAAAGTGCAAGATCGGTAAGTTACTGATATAACACTTGGGGGATAAATACATTTAGCAAGATCGAAACTAAAAGAGCAATGTAACTCACCAATCCAATTTCGAATTGACCTCGAGTGAAAAAGTTGATTCAATAGGCGTCATAGCTTCCTCTGCTGTCTGAAAAATTGCTCGGATAGACGAAAAAGCTTTTGTCATACAAATTTTATTCAAACCATTTATGAAAACAAAGTAACTAAAATTCGTCTTCCTTTATTCGAGCACACCTTTTCTGTCAAATCGAGTGCTCCGCTAATGATTGTTGCTTCATCGTGCGTGAGCTCACCACCCCTACCCGCCTAATCATAACATTAACCACACAAAGAAAAATATAAAACCCAAAAAAAAAATTAAAAATAAAAAGAATCAACGAAATATAAAAAACCAAATTGCCATTGAAGTGTTGAAAAGGCCATTCACCTCTTGGCTATGGATGGATACAAGTGCTTTCAACTGAGGCCTTCTAAACAATGCATCATCGTGGCCCAACAGATAATCCAGAATCTAAACATACAAAAACAGTCAAAATTCGATTAATGCGAACAAACATAAAAAGAAAAAGAACTATCGAGAGGAAGAACACAAGAGAAAAGAGTAGAGAAAAAATGCTGTAAAATTAATTCGTGACAAAATCTGACCTTTCCAATTGGATAAGCTATGGGATAACAAACTACCATCAAAAAGCGTACGAGCCACATACAATTTGCCCCAACAGCAAGCCCATATCTCGAGCACACAGCTTGCGGTATTATCTACTCAAAAATGCCATGATATTTAATGGTCAATTTCAAGAAACTATTAGTGTTACATGAGTAGGAAGTTAAAACAAGTGTTTTACCTCACCAAAAGCCAGAACAAACGTAACCGAGAGAACGACAGCCACAACGGGATGGAATAGTTTATCAAGATATATTGGAAGAGCCTACAAGCAAACATTCATTCAAAATTGGAAGAGCCTACAAGCAAACATTCATTCAAAACTAACAAAATTACATAAACAAAATCAACTCAGCAACGAAACATGTCAGTATGTATCAGAACTCACAAATTGAAATCTTTATCAAATTCCTATAGATTCTTCATCAACACCAGTGCAAAATCTCCCACAATTTCAAGATAAAATGGATTCAATTATAGCCCAGTTCATAAGAAACTAACCTCCATGGCAGCAGCATTGCAGAGCAGCAGAGTTACTAGAAGCTGGTGCTGCTTTTGAACCACCGGCGTTATAATTGCTGGCGAAAAAATAAAAAAATCAACATATCTCAAAAGAAAACAGGGAATATTCCATAAAAACAAAGCAAATAAAAAACCCATTATATAAATATCTGAGAAAGGTACCAGCTTGTTTCTTCTCGGCGGCGGAGCCGCTGCGCTGGAGAATCTCGAGGTCGACGAGTCCGAGGGACATCAGCCCCAACGTTAAACCGGACATTATTCCGGCGAACAGNACGAGGAAACACGACACGCCGGCGTAGACAAACCACATCGGATTATCAATTTCGACGTCGTTCGAGTCACCGTAAAAAGACCTTGTCACTATCCCCCCCATAGCCGCCGCCACCGCCGCCGTATTCATCGATAAACCCGTCATCGGAAAAAAAAAAGGGGGACAAAAACCCAGCAGCCGCCGAACGCTACTGTACCTCTCAAGCCCTTTTTGTATTGTAAAGAGAAAAACTTTAAGAGCAATAAAGAAAGGGGGAAGTGGGAGACACCTTTCTAGTTAGCCGATTGTCAATAAATCGGGGGATTAAAAGTGCGTGAGCGGTGACGTCGACAGGTGGGTTTGAGAGGGACACGGAGAGGCGAGGCAGTGACCTTTCTGGTGACACGTGGCGGGATCCTAAGGTTGTGCTGTGGATTCTCCGGCGACGGTCGACGGCGGAGGGGAGGCAGTCAAACGGAGTTGGAGACTTTGGGAGGCGGTTTTTTGACCCGTGGGTCAGTGAATGTTATTTTATTTGTTTATTTATTATTTGGTTTTTATTTATTATTGAAGGACTGAGGTATTATTTATTTATTTATTAGCATTAATATAGGGAATGAAACCAAAATTTATGAGAGGAGTTTATTTTATTTTTCCTTTTTTTTTGGCAATAATAGGAACATGAGTTATATGTTGATAGTTGATATTAACTTCAAAAATATTGTTGTATTTAATTTAAACTTTTATAAAATTTAAAAGATTTTAGTATCGCTTTGAGGTTTTAAAAATTACTAGTATTCGACTTGTGCATTTGCATAGATGTAAATAAAATAATATAAGTTATATTTATGTATATAATGTTAATTTATAAGTTAGATAATAATATTATATTTTAAACACATAGTATTATAAGTTATATTTGTGCATATAATATTAAAATTATAAGTTAGCTAGTGATATTATGTTATAAAAATTGATCATTGGTTAAAATAAATAGTACATAACAATCTAATTGCGTACGAATCACCATATTGACTGCATATGCAATAAAAATAGTTTTATCATTAATTGGATAAGGTGGATTAATAATGAAATAATAATAATAATAATAATAATAATAATAATAATAATAATAATAATAATAATAATAATAATAATAATAATAATAAAAAAATTGTAACCGGTTACTGTATTAGGAAAGTATCGTGTAGGTAAAATTTATTATGTTTTATTTATGAGGTTTTATGTAATGATTAGCTAGCAATTATATATATAGAGATTACAAAATTCTTAGGCATTTAATTTATCTAATATTAGGATTTCAAAAAAAAAAAAAAGTCAACATATATGAAATTCCACACTAAATTTCACTTCTAAACTTAAGATTCCATATGATTCCTACTGAATTTAATAATTTTAGAAAATCTCAATCACAAAAAGTCTATAAATGTTGCTCGAAATTCCAACTAGAATTGATTTTGAAAAAATTGGTATGATTAGTTATTTGTGGTATTTTGAGAATATATTAAATAATATGTAAAATAAAATAACTATATTGATTTGATGTAAAAGTATAAAGATCTGATGAGAAGTCATGATCAGTAAAATCATTGTGTGGTATTATTTAATTAGATTGATAATATTGAAGATACCGAGATAGTGGTTGGTTCAAGTTGAGATATATCCTTTAGTATATATTGTATATGAATTGGGAAAACTTATAAACAACCATCGTATATGAGTGTTAATCGAGTTCGGCCTAACACTTTTTGTTCAAACTAGTTTGATAAATGAAATTGTTTGATTCGTTTAACAAACACAACATTGACGTGTGCCAGTTGACATGCTCGGCATGAATCTTCACTCAAAACCTACAAAACGATCAAAGTAAATAACAAATTGCTGCAAACAAACTCAATACACGACTCGTTGAATAAACAAGATCAAATAGTTGTTTAAGTTAATCTCATTTAAGTTTAATGAGCTTACACTATACTATTACAAGTTAACAGTTATGTTCGAACGAAAACTATATAGTCTTCAAATTATTTTGACATGTTGGAAATTTGGTGTAAAATACACGGGAATCTTACGAACTGATATGTATTTTCAGTTCTTACAAGTAATCTTGTTAGAATATCACTTGTGAGTTGTCCCACATTGTTCATACATGGAAAATAGACCCACCTTATAAGACTAATGGGCTACTTATCCTTCCACCAATTGGTTTTGGATGAAACCTCATTTGGGCTTCATATGGGCTTTCCTTTTCCTCTAGTTTCTTACATGATATCAGAGCCCACTTTGTGTCTGGGTTTGAGACATGATATCAGAGCCCACTTTGTGCCTGGGTTAGAGACATGATATCAAAGCCCGAGCCCACTTTGTGTCTGGGTTTGAGACATGATATCAGAGCCCACTTTGTGCCTGGGTTAGAGACATGATATCAGAGCCCGACCAACTTTGTGTCTGGGTTAGAGACATGATATCAGAGCCCACTTTGT